GCCCCGCCCCGGCTCGGCGCCGGGCGTTTGGCAGCGGTCGGCAGGTAGCGTGGGACAGCGCTGCTCTACCGGGCCAGCTCGGCCTGCCCCTCACCCGGGCGGGGGAGGGGGGTGCTGGCAAAGGTGTCCGCATCGCAAATAAAAACTTCCACCCGCCTACAGAAATAATCTACCAGCAATGCAACATTGAATGCTTTTCCGGAATCAGAGATTAGCTGGGTTTCTGTTATTCACAACGTGTACTTCAAAGGGTTTCGGGGCAAGGTTTTTCTCCTGCAGTAACTACGGATTTTTACTGGATTTCTGAAGGGCACCTTGCAATATGTGTCTGATGGCCTGAGGATACAACATACAAATTCTCAAAAGCATTTCAAGTACATTGAAGAATGGGATGCGATTGTATTTTTCTACTTTAGATAGGCAACTAAGTAGGATCTGCAATCCAGTTACCAGTGGCATCTTCTGTACTTGCTTTGTATGGCAAAAGAGGAAGGCCACAACCCTGCAAATTTCAAGTGCACCATTAAGTTGTCTCTCATTGTGCCATAAACAATGCAATTAAATCATACCCGCAACACAGGAAAACTGTGGGCTCTTACTGTGAGGTCCAGACTGATTATTTGATTGAATTTAATCAAGAGTTCCTCAAATCCTATTTTTACAGCATCCAAAATGCAACAGTCTTCGTGTTTTGCTTCCCCAAGGTCAGTTTTTGAATCAGTTTCTACTCACTGCAATGGCATCAAATTTCTTCTCCTCAAAGGGAAACAAAAGCTAAGAAAAACTCAGTTTATTGAATATAACTGGGCCCATTCATGTTTTGCTGATAGAGTGCCTCTCATTCATAAAAGGAACAAAACGTCTGTTGTTCAAGCCAGGTGGTCACATGCTGGCCGATGTGAAAAACCAAGTCCAATTTTGACAACATCAGTCATGATTCTCAGATCGACGCAAACACGTTACTCCGATGGGCATTGCATTTTTGCAATCTCGTCTGTTCCTATTTGCTCAGAATTTTGAGTGGTGGGGTCCTGTCAGAGGAAAAAAGGACACAGCTGGAAAGGTTGTCATTTTAAAACCAAGAAGTCTTAACACCAGGCACCTTGCCTCCACTGTTTTAGCCGACTCAGTCCCATTCTACTGCCAGTTAGAATTATATTTCTGACCATAATTAGAGGAGTTGCAGCAGCTCCGTTTCCCCCACCCCTTGACCCTTGATTAAATAAATTACGAGTGCTGAGAAATTTAATCCAGCCATGGGAGAAGGAAACTAGTGCTTTGCTCTGTGGAAATAGCAGGGTGTAGGACATCAAGCACCAAATGAGACCTACCACAGATCAGATTTTTTAGTTCTGCAGGAAATCAGGAGGCTTTAAAAGATACCTAAATGGCCACAGCATTCCTATCTTACAAGACAGATCTAAAAATTAAATGGAACTATTTTAAGAAATAAGATCCCCAGATAGTACCGGTGGAGCTCATATTTTAGACTGCTATTCATGTGCCAAGGTGACACCTCATCAGATGAACAGGAGAGATACAGCAGCATGAGAGGGATGGTGATACAACTGAGCTCTACGTTTATCCCATGGGAAACGGCCGAATTCCTTTTGAGCACGGAGGCAATTTGTCCAGAGAAAGGCACTTACTTCATTCTCCTTTTGAAATGTTCCTGTCACACACAGTCTGGTGTAAGATCTGCAAGTATCCATTCCTTTTCATCTGCTAAAGAGCTAGGTAGCAGGTAGGGTGTTTTCAGGCTTTGACAGTGAGTTGCGCATTCATGCAGCATCCCCTTTCCTGGGTGACCTAGAAATGGAGGTACAACTACAGGGACAGAAGGATGGTTAAGCATGGTGGTTCACCCTAGAAATCAACCTTTTAGAGCTCTGTCCCTTGAAATCACTTTTTCCAGCCAGGATGGTATTGCTCATCTCACAACAGAAGGGAAATCAAAAATTACAGTCCTGAGAAGAAGTTAAGGGAGGAGACAGAGTGACTGAGATGCACTTTTTCGGTACTAAGGCTTAATGGAAATTTATTTACCTCCGGTATTTATGGAGGATGTTTGAAAGAGGCGAGAGAAACAGCAGTTTAGGGAAGCAATGGGTGACCGGGAAAAAAATGTACCAGACACTTTATATAGGGTTCTGTGGCTGGCGGAGTGGAAAAGCATGCATTCCTTTATCTGCTCCAAGAATATGAGTTACCCCTTGGAAATCCAACTAGACTGTATCAACCATCTCACTCTTTTCCACATGCACGTTGACTCTTCAGGGAATTTAGTAAGTTTGTAAGGCAGAATTTCCCTCTATAAAAGTCATGTTGACTCTTCCAAGTAGATCATATTTATCTAGGTGTCTACTGATTCTGTTCCCTATCATAGTTTCTACTGACCTGCAGAGGAGAGAGCAAGCTTCCTGGCCTGTCAGGCCCCCTATCTTCCATGGGACTCCTCCTAGAAGTTGATATTACATTTGGTATCCTGTAGACACCAGGTATCGGTGCAGCTTTAAAACTGTGGTTATGCACACCTGCTAGCAATTTCAGTTTCCTCCTTGAATACTGTGGGTGAATACTATCTGGTCCTCATGATTTCTTACTGTTCAGTTTATCAAGTTTCTTCCATTCTCTCTTCCAAAATCCCTTCGATTTGCAGGATATCCACTGGTGATTGCAGTTTCTTCCACAGTGAAAACTGACTCAAATGATTTATTAAACTTCTCTTCAAGGGCCTTGTGTTCTTTGAGTACTCCTGTTAATACTACGGTTATCAATTGCTCCAACAGACTTCTGGAAGGCTTCCTGTTGCTGAGAGAATCAAAGAAAAATCTATTATTAGTTTTGATTCTTTTTTGGGGGGACAATCTTATTGTTTTCTTATATTCAATCTGCAGGGATTTATGTTTCTACTTTGTTTCATTTGAATATTACTTCACCCTTCTCGGGCCCTCCTTAATAATCCAAGTGTGTGTATAGACCTTATGTTTCTAATAGGTGTATCTTAAAATAGCTTCCATGCTGCCTGTAAGGATTTAATTATTTAGCTGCACCTTTTTGTCCCTTTTTAACAAACTGCCTTATTTTTATACAGTTCCACTCTTTGAGTCAAAATTTGGTGAATTTTTTGGCTGTTGGTGATCCTGTAATGCATCAAAGTATGTTATGGTCATTGCTCAGAGACTGGCTCTCCAAATATATGAGTTTTTAAACCAGATCCCAACTACTACTCAGGATGAAGTCAAAGGCTGTCTTCTCATGGACTTTCTAACTAGTTGTTCCATGAAAGAGGCACTATTTATGTCTAAAAGGCCAGTCTCTGTGATACATCTAGATGTAACACTTGTACAGGCTACATACAAGCAATGAAGACTACTGTTACTTTTGTATTTCCCGCCCTTGCTGACCTCCTTGATCTTCCTTAGAATTTCACTATCAGTAAAGTAGACCAAATATTGGGTTGGTTCGTTAATTATGGAACAGGTCAGTACTTATTCACTATACTCCTCTATAATCTCCCTGTTTAGGCCTGTCATGTTAACCTATGCAGATATTATTTGACTTCTAGTAATAAGTTGGTTAATTGGACTTGATTTGATTTACAGAGCGGCTTTTCCAAACACAAACTGTTTTTTACGGGAAGGTGGACTTCCTGTTACTCTGAAATCCAGACAACAGAGACAAAAATGCATGAAACAATAAATCCCATAGGGGCAGTGATCTTGTGAGACTGATACTGGAAGAATGCTGGTACATGAATAAAGCTGCTTTCCACTACATTTGTTTGTAGATCACTGAATGGCCACTGGTTATAACCAAAATGTATTGGAACAGCAAATTTTCTGCAGTATTTTTTTTGTGCTATGGAATTCATTTTAGTGTTAGAATTTGGTATTTATTTAATAAAGGGAGAGCGTTCAATGAAGTAATGTTTTATCAGCCACCCTACCTGTTTAAAGAAAAACACAACAAAAATATATTCAAGGTCCTCAACTTTTATACTACTGTTTCAAAGAAATAAATACTGAAAACAATTTCACAATAAAAGAACTGGGACACATTTTCCCAGTGATACCACAGAAATTAAGTATTTGTTCCTTCCCTTCTCCTTATGCTGTCTAACGTTAAATCGTGTTATGCTGACAAAATAACAATATAAACTATTAAATCTGCACTTTCAGAAGGTATGTCCATACATTCAGAGCATTTTTTTGTTCTGTGACATGCTCTTCATTAATTTACCTATTACGTAATATGTGGTTCTTAGTTCTGTAATTGTATATAGACTGTTTAATGTGAATACAGCAATTAATAGGCCTTCCTAGTTATTTGCCTAATATGTTGCCAGATAGATCTAATACTGCATTTTACCTGTTTGACAACCATGCACATCCTTTGATGGCCTTCGTTTTAATCCTGCCTTTAAGTCTCTTAACATAAATAAAGATAATCCATCCAGAATCCTCTTCCTCTCCGATCATTTTCTCTTGAGCTGCTTTTGTGTTTAACTTTGTATTTTTATTCTCATCAATGAGCCCAGTGCTCAGAGCTATGTGTTAGAGCTATATATGTTATTTTACTGAAAAGAATTGTGAACGCATGGTCACTATCAACTGATGCTGAATGTCGAACAGCATGTGGCTGGATTCTCATTCTTCTTATGCAATACAAGGTAACGTGACAAAGTCTTCTACGGGACTAATACATATAAGTATGCTTACCAGCAATTTTTAATGAGATAGGTATGTAAGAATATAGTACGTCTGAATTCAGAACATGACCTACGTTATTACTGAACAAATAGGAAATAAACATGCATTGTGATTTGGCACATGTTTTTCTTAAGATTTGTTGAGTTAAAGAGGAGCAAATCCTCTAAAGATGACATCCGAAGTCATCCAACAACTTTTAATAGCAATGAGAGGCTTATGAGTTGCAGTAATCTTTTCTTTGAATCACCAGCATGGTTAAGATCCTCAAAACTGGTGTGGCTGCCTTGCACAGTGACATTATCCTCAAACTAGCTAAAAGGAAGATCAAGATAAAGGGCTAAGAGGCATCAGTTACATCTACAAAATTCACACCTTTTGAAGGTACAGTGGGAAAAAAAGGAGAGTCAGAAGTAAAGAAGTGTTAAATACCTCTTCTTCACCAATCCTTGCAGTTCAGAGCTCCATGAATTTAAGCAGTTCAACTTAAGTAGTTGTCAGGAAGATATGTTGCATTCTGCAAAGTACAGCAAACCATCTGACCATCTTAGTTTGGTTTTGAAACCTGAAAATAGAAACACTTGCTGATGTCTCATAGTATTGTCCACGACATCTAAAGGGGAAAAAATATTTTTAGTATTGTAAAACTATAAAGTCTGTTTGTTGTGGCCTTGACTTTGATGACAGAAACTGGGTGAAATCCCTGTTGATACCAGTAACTTCTCTTTTTGTTCACTGGGCCAGAACTTCACCCCATGCCTTTTATTTTTTCTTCATACTAAAGAATAAAAATCTTTATTACCTCAAGACACACCCATGGACTTTTTCAAATATCCTAAATGGTGGAGTTTCTCTCTTTAAAGCTTGGCACTTGTTGGTTACCTAGGATTTTTTTTTAATATAAAATAGCATTGAATTAAAAAAAGACATAGCTTGTCCTTTTTTTGTTCTCGTTCCATGACAAACATTCAGTTTTGTACGCGCACATTGAAATATACTAACATTCCTTATATACCAGAAGAGCATTCTTGAATTCGGAGAGAACCATTCTTACAATTCTAGCACAAAGTTGACCCACTGTATCAACACATAAGCTGCAAGAAGCGATGTGACTTGAATAAGCAAAGCCAAACTGAAGAATCTGCAGAACCTCCCATTCTCACCACAACTAAAAAAGGCACTCTTGAGAGATTTTTATCTCTGGACAGATGGATAAGCTTGGAATAAGTCTGCTCCATTCTCACCTGTGGGTGTAGTGGATCTTTCAATAGTTTAGTTTGTATCCCCACCAATGGAAGAAATAAGGGATTCAGTAGTTTACAGTGTACTGCAACCTCTTTTGATTTGCAGAATTAGACAGACTTTGAAATCCCGTATCATTTTTCTTTCAAGAGTAGAATCACAGACAGGTATTTCTCTAATGCAACTCCGTTCATTTACAAAGAATGTTTATAAAGTCCTGTTTCTCTGACCGTAGTAGGAAAACTTTGCTTTGACAACAGGTCTGCCTTTTTCTCTTGGTATTGTTCCCTGCTCTCTTTCGGTCTTTAAGATCATACTACAGGTTTTTATCTGGAAGCCTTTGAGACATTTTTCTCTGAGTGAATCTGTAATGGTTTTGCTCTCTCTTTCTTACATACACACACAGCCTATATTACCGCTGCATTTGGTATCAAAATCCCAGAGAGTGCCCGTACCATCTGGCGAAGCTGTGGTTCACATCTGCATGTGGTCTAGCTCCTGGGTGGTATTTTTTCATTGTTTCAGTCATCACTGAACAAAGAGGCATTTATTTGGGTCTTCAATGAGCCTGAAAGACAGACAGATACTACGTCCAAAAGCTTCACTGGGAAAAGGTAATTGCCCAGCCCCCACTAGTGCCATGCCTAGAAGCATAGGAGGTGGGGAACAGGGGCTAAGGCACTTTCTTAATTAAGTAACGTCAAATTCAGTGGCCATTTTCTTCCTAACCAGCAGCTGTCTTAGCTGCCACCTGCGCTAGCTTTTTTTGCAGCAGGTGAGACACTGCTGACCTCCCCTTCTCCCCTTGTTTGCTAACCTCAGTCACTCTCAACCTTGCATCATTTTGGAGAAGTTGCAAGGAGAGCAGGAATACAGCACTGACATAAATTCCAGGACCATGAATGGGCTACAAAGTTTCTGATTCATACATGCCTCTGTGTGTGTGCTTGTTTGTGAGAGAGGGGGACAGGCAGCTAGAAAGTGACATGAAAAGCCTGACAGAGAAAAAAAGAGCTCTACTCAGGGAAGGTCAGAGCAAAGGTCAGCGAACTTCCCTGGTGAGAACGAGTGTGCCACCAGAAAATGGGAAATGGCAGTGGATAGACCTCCAGGAGGCATGTATCAGTTCATGCACCGAACCAGAAAATCAAGGCCAAATTGAGAAAACAAAGCCATATAAATATCACATAATCCACATTTTTTACTAATAAGGCAGCGCTGTTTAAAAGGAAACAACAAAAAAGAACTTCTGTCAAATCAGAATTTGTTATGCTAGGTTCATCCACAGATGCTACCTATGTTCTTCCCAAATACTGAGAGGGACAAATAAATTTGTTAATTCCTCAATTACTGGGCTTGCTGTTGTTTAAGTTGTATAGCTTTATTTACTTTTAATTAATACAGGCATTCCT